AGTGTGCTCTATAGGAGTACCGTGGACCCAATCCGCAAAGTTAACGCAAGGCACCCTTCTGCAATACAAAAACTGAATTCATCAAGAACTAAAAACTTGAACCACAAAAGCATACTTCATATCGCAGACGGGACTCAATCAGTGCAAAATATACACTTGGGGCGATGTTATATCCCAAGCTGTGTCTCACTGTCCTAATGGCATAACAACCTGAAGCCAACTTTGAGCTTATACAGCTTATATGTTTACTAAACTTTAATTTGTTATAGATGTGATCTCCAAAAATTTATTCGCATCATAGCTATTGATCATTTGATTAGCCATAGCTATATTTCACACCCCGTGTGGGGGACTCATCGGGCGCCTCCCCAGGTGGCGAATAGGGGAAAGCCTCCCAGATATGGGTGGTACCGGTGAAATCAAATAGCCAAGGCGGACCAAAACTAGCATTGCGGCGTCTGACCCACAATGGGCGGCTGAATTCAAAACTCACCAAGCCGTCTGGCCAGCGTGTCGTTTTACGGCCAAATACCCCTATGAAACATGCCAATAGATAAAACTAGAGTAGGTACCCCAGGCGAGTAGGGCAACACGCTCAGAATCTCGCACTGATAGCAAATCAGTCTGTCCCACGGATTCTGGGGGGGGGGGGACATAAAATTGGCAACATCGAAAAAGATATCCGATTATCAGACGCTGCACATTGCAACATACAATGCGCGATCTTTGCTCTCGGAGGAACTGTTGGTCGAATTAGAGGCAGAGCTTAGGTATATCAACTGGGACATCGTAGGTCTCTGTGAAGTCAGACGGAACGGAGAACAGCTATTGAAGCTAAACTCAGGACATACCTTTTACTACGCGGGAGAGGAAGACGGTTCCATCGGCGGTACTGGTTTTCTTATCCACAAACGTCACGACCCCTACATCGAGTCATTCAAGAAAATGTCAACTAGAGTCATTTATGTAATTATTAGGTTGAATAGAAGATATAGTCTGAAAATTATCCAAGTATATGCGCCAACTAGCACCCACACCGTCGAGGAAATAGACCTCTTTTATGAGGATGTGAGCCTAGCTTTGGAGGACCGGAAAACTCATTTCACAATTCTGTGTGGTGACTTTAATGCTAAAGTGGGTCTAACAGCTGATGTTTCTGAGGATGCTTTGGTTCGGAGGGCAGAAACGATCGCGGCGAGACTCTTCTGGGGTTTCTGCTATAAAACAACCTATTCCTCATGAACAGTTTCTTTCACAAAAAATCTAAGCGGAGGTGGACTTGGAAAAGCCCAAACGGTCTGACAAAAAATGAGATCGACTTTATAGTGACCGACAAGAAACATATCATCAAGGATGTATCAGTACTGAATAAATTTACCACTGGCAGTGACCACCGTATGGTAAGAGCAAAAGTCCATCTCAATTTAAAATGGGAGCGACACAAAATGGTCAATGCGTCAAATAAAAAACCTTGGCATCCGCCGATTGATTGTTATAAATTCCAGCAATGCATTTGCGACCTATTAAAAGAACCTGAAATGGACATAAACATGAATGAAGAGGAAAAGATAAACACCTTAAACGATACTATAGTGAAGGCCCTGACAACAGGCCAAGATAAAGATTCCCCAGTAACCAAAAAGGACGAAAGGATAAGCGAAGAAACTAAAGAACTAATGCGTGAAAGAAGAAACAAAAGAAGTGGAGAGGCGACCACAGAGGAAGAGTTCAGGGAAATGAACAGACAAATCTCCAAATCAATAAGAAGAGACACAAGGAGATACAAAGTGAGAGAAATTGAACAAACCATAGAGAATAACAAAAGCACGAAGGTACTCCAAAGAAAACTTACAAATGGAAGGGAAGAAATATGCAAAATGAGAAATAAAGATAGAGAACTTACGACCAATAGTAAGGAAATATTAAATATAGTGGAGGAATTCTATAAACTCCTTTACAAAAGTCAATATGACGAAGAAAATCCTGAACCCGAAATCCTGACATCCAGAAGAGGCATTGTTAACCAAGGATCAGAAGAGCTTCCTGATATTACCATCGAGGAAATAGAATTAGCATTAAAAAACACAAAAAATAATAAAGCGCCAGGGAAAGGCAACGCATAGTTACAGACGCAATAAAAATAGGAGGTCGACATCTGCTGCTAAAAATAAAAGAGCTTTTTAACCTCTGTCTATTCAATAGTAAAGTCCCCAAAAATTGGCATAATTCCATTGTTATTCTGCTTCACAAAAAAGGAGATATAGCAGAGCTAGAGAACTACCGACCAATTAGCCTCTTAAATCACCTTTACAAACTGTTTACTCGTATTATAACTACCCGACTGGAAAAAAAATTGGATTTCTACCAACCCGTGGAACAGGCAGGTTTTCGTCGTGGATTTGGAACGAATGATCACCTTCAAAGCGTCAAAACACTCATAGAAAAGACAATGGAATACAACAGAGCTTTAGTAATGACATTCGTGGACTTCCACAAAGCCTTCGACACAATAGAGCTAAATGCAGTGTGGAATACACTTCAGGAATGTAGAATCGACTACCGATATACCAAACTCATCCACATTATCTACAAAAATGGAACAATGACGGTAAAACTACATGAAAATACTAACCTCATAACTATTGAACGTGGTGTTCGGCAAGGCGACACGATGTCACCAAAACTGTTCATTACAGTCATGGAGAGTGCATTCAAGCAATTGGACTGGAGTCAGAGAGGTATAAACATAGATGGCAAGAACCTTAACAACTTACGTTTTGCAGATGATATAGTGCTATTCTCGGATGATCTAGAAGAAATGCGACTGATGTTGCAGGAGGTGCGTGGAAAAGTCGGTCTTAATATCAATATATGTCAAAAACAAAATTTATGACAAACCTTCTTCCCAGCTGTGGCTTGAAGATTGACGGAGCTGAAATTCAAATGGTAGATAGATATGTGTACCTTGACCATGAGGTCAGCATCTCAAGGGATAATCAGACATGCGAACTAAAGAGAAGACTCACTCTCTCATGGGCAGCTTTTGGAAGACTTAAAGACGTTTTCAAGAGTGACATTCCCGTCAATCTAAAAAGAAGGGTTTTTGATCAGTGCGAGCTACCAGTAATGACACATGGCTCAGAAACCCTAACACCAACAACAGCAACAGCAAAGAAACTCAGAGTTACACAGAGGAAAATGGAGAGATCCATGCTTGGTGTGACCTTGAAGGACCACATAAGAAACGAGGATCTGCGCGAAAGAACCGGTGTCAGCGATGTCGTTGGAGCTATTGCAAAGCTTAAGTGGAACTGGGCTGGCCACGTTGCACGGATGCGGGATGATCGATGGGAGAAGAGGCTTCTTGAGTGGAGACCTAGAACGGACAAGCGAAGTAAAGGAAGACCGCATACGCGTTGGTCGGACGATATTAAGAGGACCCGTAGCAACTGGATACAAACAGCACAAAATCCACTGGAATGGAAAATGATTAGGGAGGCCTATGTTCAACAGTCGACGCAGAGGGCTGGTTGATGATGATGATGATATTTCACACTTGAATTGAATATTAGTTTTACTGACATTAAAATAAAAAAAGTTTGCGTCGCACCACCTTTTTATGTTTAACAGGTCTAATACAAGGGATCTTTGTGGTGCCAAAGTAGGGTGGTGTCATCAGCAAAGGAAGTACACTTTCCATACTCAATAGAACTGGGCAAGTCATTAACATATGAGAGGAATAGCAGCGGTCCCAAAACTGAACCTTGTGGTACTTCAGACCCTATATTTAGGTCAGTTGACGAACAACCCTGGAAAATCACCCTCTGACTACAACACGAAAGATACATTATATAAGTATGTTACCTACTCTTTTATATTGGTCCAGCAATCAACCCCCATTAATTTTAATTAACACACAGAAACGGTCAGACACTAATCAATTGGTTTTAGCTACACAGACAACACCTCTAGAAAGTCTTCCATACACCTTATGTAATCCATACGAGGCATGATGTATTCTAATTTCTACCAAGTATCAGCTGAATCAATTCAATATATTGGATCATTGCTCAGATAAATATATAGATAGTTCTGTCTCCTTATCTCAAGAGAACCTGTTCTACCTTTGTCTTCGTCACTAAAATTGCATAGGATTGCGTTTTGATGTTTCTTCCTCCTTCTGGCAGAATCTACAAAAGGCCACCTCTCTCAGTCCGGAGAGATTTATGAGGTTCCTTAATCTTTAGGACATAATTTGACTTTGGTTTGGGATGACAAGCATGATTTTTTGCAGCGTAGCTCAAAGTTGACTTTGCGATAGTAATTTGCAGATTATTGGCACAAGCCTATTTCTGAAAGTAAGCATATTCTCATATCACAGTTCAAAACTAGAATCATTAACACGTTCGCGGACAATTTCTAAAAGTATGTTGTACTAAGAATGTCAATTTTTGTATTTCCATGTTTGGTGTGGTAAAAATTGTTTTTTTCGCCATGAACTGGATAATTTTCAGGTGAATAGACACTGTGGCAGGACTAATAAATTGAAAATACATGTAACTATATGGGATCTAAGACGGCTAGAGCCGTTATTTGTCTATAGAAGAAAATTGGGGTGACTGCTATAGACGTCACGTCCCAAGTAAGGGAGAAGAATATGACGGTTTTAGCCGTACTGTCCGCGAACGTGTTAAGCTTCTGTGCGCAAACTAAAAATGCTTTTACTACTCCAAACACAAAACTTCCATAAAATTAATTATTAAAAAAAAGTTTCATATTATATGATGCAGACTTTACTAAAGAGACTGATCCACACCTGAGTCACTGAACTAAAATTATTAACAATAAACACTATATTGTCATTCTGCTTGAGACAATAATTTTATTTGCTTCTAAATAAACAAAAAGGCAAAATATAAATGATAACTTATTAAAATTGACTTCAAAATTGTTTTAAAGATGTAAGACTGTGTGTTCTTATATGCTCTCTAAGCATCTGGTGAAAGTGAAGGGTTGCAGAAATGAGTCTCTAGGACTTTTTTATGCCTAGAAGCTAGCTTTTTTTGCATTTTCTACTGAAAACAGTGCTACTGCTTACCATTGGAGAAACAGTGAAATTTTCATTAAAGGTTTCTTTCTCAAATATATCTAAAATTATCTATCTATACTACACATAATCTAACAAACATTTTTTCAAAATTATTATTTTATTCCTCGGTTGTCACCTTTAGTACAGAAAGGCATGTATAAGCAAGTTTAACCCTCTGAAAAAGTTAAATTTTTAACAAACACCATTATATCCACTACTTCGTGACTTACAGATATTGCGGCGTTTAAATTCATAGTACCAAAAGGTCCGATACGCATTGCTAATGGTCTCTTGCAACGTATCATCATAAAATAGATTAGGAAGCTGATTTCCTTGTTACGATTGTACCAATTACTATTATATAAGGCTTCCAGTAAGCCAGTAGAACTCTGAAAATAATCAATAAACCTGGTTTTAGGTTTTGTCACATGCAACATTCAGCTTTGATGTAAATTCAAATTCTTTTTTTTAGAGCCTTAGATATGAAACTGATTCGTGTAAGTATGTAAGATGCTACATTTTTGAATACAATTCGCTTCATTCTCACCTCAAGTAATATTTCGTTTGCGTTCCACGCGATCCCAAACAATTGTAAAAGACAATGCATGAAAAATGTCCCGTTAAATGGAATGTGGACCAACTAAAAACAGCAGACTGTATTAAATATACAATGCGAAACTTGAAACTTACCTGAATTATTTGTATCAAAGTTGTGGCTAACTGTATGGATGTTACACAATATTCCAATAAAAGTATACTCTTAAATGAATCATCCAAATCATGGACCCATCTAGAAATTAGATATTCTATAATTAATGGATGTCACCTATTAGTTAAAATTATTCACATTATTAATTGCTGATGTCTCAGAATCAACCGTTTCAAATTTTTCTCTGGAAAATTCTGACTTCCTACCCCATCATCAATGTCATAAGCATTTACTGAATCAAAATTTCTTATGTCATACTGCAGTATCTTCAAGTTGGCCCTCAAGAACACCATAACAGAATTTATGAGAGCCAAGATGGCACTGTTAATAGCAAGAGTTTGATAGATATGCCATATTTGGTAAGCCATTGCCAGAATAAAATATTTCTCTTTATTGAACGGAAACCAAAATGGGATTATGTGAGGTTTGAATGTGGTTTCGTTGGCAACAGTAAATTGCGTTATTTGGCTCCATTTATGTAATTCATAGAATCCTAGAACAAGTTTATTTAAAACAAGAACTAATATAGTACATTGTGTATCAAGGGCGGAAAGGAAACGATTCCGACGAGTGTGAAGTTATTGGCCCGAGCGAAGCGAGGGTAGATATTATCATACGAGTCGAAATCGCTTTCCGACCGTGGCGCACACAGTACTTTTTGAGTAACCTTTCTGGAAACATTTTTAATAAATATTATTCATAATAAATTCTAAAAAAATACGGAGATTGACTGTGGCGACCCTAAAAATTTCGAGATGCTAAAATCCCAGAAAATATAACTAAACTCAATTGGTAAAAGTATTTTTGTAGTCATTTTAATTAGAAAACTACCTACGTCAGTTGCAAGATAATTTAATCTCAACTTATTAAATCTCCTAGCAATCCAGCATCTAATTCCATATAAAAATAGTATAAATAAAAAATGACGAAATTTCTAAGCTCAACTCAAATTACATAACAATTTTTTTTACCATCACAAGCGATAAGCGACCGAATGTCAGAGTTCGATGTCCCCAATTAATAGACTCTTGCGACATTCCGATAAAATAAAAGTCAATAAAAAATTATAAAATTAGGACGCGTTTAACCGGAAATCACTATACTCATGTAATTTAATTGCGTCATAACTGATAAACTACAACACCGGTATTTCCGCCGGATGTTGCATCATATCCTAAGTAAAAACTTAAAAAAAAAAAAACAATTCTTGGAAAACAACAATGTCGTTTATCACTCGATAAACGAGGTCAAATAAGAGGATTGGTTCGAGAAATGCTAAATGACCGCCCACGTAAAAGATTTTTGGTGGGAAATGAGTAATATTTACGCAGGTTACAATCAGAAAAAAAGGAAGATAACATCCAGCAGTTGATTTGATAGTAAGATTTTAAGAATTATGAAAATTGGCAGTGAGTGAGTCCCCACCAAAAAGTTTTCTTTTCTTTGTTTTGCCTCGGGCAAAAAGCTAAAAAGTTTGCGATTGACTATTGTCCAGTAAGTCATAAAGTAGTATCAGGTTTTCCTTTGTTTGTGCGTGCTAAGTAACCAAAAGTAATTTTGATCGTTTGTGTATCTATGGACAGATTGTAAGTACATGTAGAAATTTGAGACTTTAGTATTTATCTATTAGTGAATTGATTTTGAGAGAACTGTCTAAGGAACTTTACTGAAAATTTATTTGATTTTCGGAGTGAAATCACATTTGAATTTATTTTGATAAAAAAAGGTTTCTTTATCAAAATAGAATGAACTTGACTATTGACAACAATTTGAAGTGAATTTAATATAACAAAATTGTAACTTGATTTTAAGTGAACTTTCTAAGGAACTTTACTGAAGGCTTAATTGTTTTTGAATCAAATGACATTTTTATATTTTTTAAAATATTTAATTAGGAAAATATAATGAACTTGACTATTGCCAAATTATTTGAAATGGAATTTTCCAGAAGAGTTCTAATTCAAAAATATAATTTTGAATTCAAATAGTGGATTGTTACTACACCGTTTTTGAAGAAATTGAATTAATGAATTGTTGAGCTTAACCTATCAAATAAAAAGAAATTCTTTATGCAGACTGATTTTAGATTGTAAGTTGGGAGTGTAGTAAAATGGCAACTGGAAAGTTAGGGATTTAATTAAGAGTTTTAATATGAAAGGATTTAGTATTAAGGAAGTGTTTTACAAGGGAATTGTTTAATGTGTAACCAACAAATGAGGAACAAGTTATAAAGATTAATTGCGTATAATCAACTTAGTTTTGATTAAGAGGGTGTATAACTGGATTGTTTCAATGAATGATCATTGAAGTAAGAATTTGTTAATATAAAATTTTTCTTTATTTGTCGTGTGCCTAGGTTGTGCTGAATTCTCCTAATTGATAGTGCTGATTTAGTGAATAAAATATGTATGAAAACTATTATACAGTTGTTTCTCTCATTTGCAAATAGATCCGCTTCACCTTGCCATTTACCATCTAACTAATTAATAGAGTACTTGGGTGGATCACTACAACCCTGTCAAACTGTCAAAGTCAAATTAAGAGCATTTCCGCTCGGTTAGGCAGGCGGAAATGTTCTTGTTTGCCCGGCTGTGAAATGCGCATGCATGGCAGTCAGCGGGCTGCAATTATCAACGTTCTGCCTGCTTAACATGATTCAAAAAGTTGCGTTATTGAGCAGGTTGCGCAAAAAATAATTTCTTACCATTGACCATATTAGTAAGTCCAGCAGCCCATAAGAATACCACTATAAAAAACACCATTTTTGTGCAATAAGCAACATGAGCTTTATAGGTACTTTTTACATATTTATCGGTGCTTTTCATTATATTTATTTCTTCCGAAGTGACCAAATTGATTATATTTTCAATTTTTTGCGAACGTATTATGTTTAATTTGAAAACTATCAGTATGACAAATACCATTCTCGAGAAATCTTCAGCAGCTAAAAAAAAATATACAAAATTTGTGCCTGTCAGTATAACTTACGATTTAAAATATGGGGGGATAGCTTTATCATATAACGTTTCCGCCTTTATCAGGACATTCACCATTTTTAATATCACACCGCCCCGCTAAAGGTAGGTATTCTAAATGAATAAAAAATAGTTTCTTTTATGTCATGTATGTTACCTTGAGCATTTCTCACACCATAATCAACCAACAAAGCGCCCCCAAAAGCGAACGGTGATGTAAGATAAATCATATGAGCCACTACATAGTAAACTTTAAATACAACCTGCCAGTTTTTTGAAGCATTTGGAATTTCAAGCGGCCACAATCCGCTTATAATTAACATAAGCCTTACGAGCTTAAAAAGGTACTTGTCTTTAACGGTCATAGCGGAAATAAGTCTGAATTATTGGTGGTTTGGTATATAAAAGGAAATCTTATTTTATAGTCAGAGGCGTGTAAAATTTCAGCAGAATACACTCAAGTTAGTTTGAAAATTTCAAAGCTGTGAAAATAGTTTAGCACCTCGAGACATATTATTTTTATGTTGGAAACTAATGAATAACTCAAATAGTTGCGATCTTTAGAACGCATAGACGTGATTCATAACCTTTCAATTTGTCGAACACAGGAAAGGTATATAAATGAAAAAAATGGTTTGATTCTGTTCGCTTACCTTTTTCCAAATACCAATACCTTTTTCTCGTGTCCAACATCACTACTCATTCCCTCTGGGATTGTTTTTCGTAGTAGATCAAATAAAGCTCAATTTGTTTATTAAGCTAAAAAGACGGTTTGCGGATTAATTTGCTGGTTCACCAGTATCTCCTTCTCCTTGTATTTCTTGAATCAGAGACTTTGCGCGCATGCCCTTTCAATGGGCTAACAAACAGTTGTTTTTGAGATTAAAGTTTATTTTTAAATTGAAAACTTATTGTATATGCTGCTCAATTAAAAACAAAAATAACGAAAATTGAATTAAATTTTTAATATAAATAAAATTTTAGAAAGTACGCCAATGAGAAATTAAAACACGCTTGATGACTCTATAGGATATTCAATTCAATTTAATAATTATATACCCTTCCATGTGCACTCCAGGTGCAATTAAGTATTATTGTTCGGTTGATTTTATTGAACTTTGACAGGTAAATTGTTAACTTAGATCATGGTTTCTACCATTTTTGAATAATAATCTAGGAATACAGAGAAGCAAATTTCTGAAAATAATTACTAACCTGTCACTGTTAATAAAAAAAAAGCAATACTACTTTTATCCGAAAATAAATATGTACTTTTTTCATCTATTTGATAATATTCAATCAACCTCTCTATGTCATGTCATAGACTTTATTTTAAACCATTTATGTAATTTTCACATTTCTTACTGGTTTGAAGGTTCGAAAATGTCACTTTACTTTTGTTTAGTTTTCAGAGGGTCGAAAGGGACAGTTCTTCCACAGCATATACAAAAACAATCAGCAGGCTAACTCTCACGCGCATCTTTTCTGCGCACGCCGCCATTAGGGGATACCAATCCTGTCATTAATCGGCAGGGACGCCGACATTTTAATTTATTTGTTTATTTCTGACGGAGGTCATAGGCGTGCGGTGTAGAGCGGAATTTTAGTTATGATTTTCAAAGTGATTTTAGTATATATTATATATTATATTCATGTTGTCATTTATGGTGTTATCAATTATCATTCTTGTATGTTTAAAATTAATAATAAATTAGTAAGGATAAATATTATTATATGTAAGTAATATTAAATTAGTTTATTTAAAGCCAATACGACTCTGTGACCCGAAAGAAAAAACCTAAATTATTGTTAATCAGGTCCTGTCTCGTATCCCAAAATGGCCGCTAGTGACATCCCGACCATGCATTCCTTTCACTTTTGGCCTGGAGAACTCACTTTCGGCCTGCTAAATTATTCTTTCACACCTAAAAACAAATCCAGGTGCAATCCTTGTATTTAGAAGTACATGTCACACGTGTATACAGGGTGTCCCAGAATATGTGGGCAATCTCTCGGATTCAGATAGAACATAAAAAAATAACATGACAACTTCCTATAAAAAAAAAATTCCTACGGCCCCCCCTACGAAGTTACGTGTCCCTAAAGGACGCCTCTGAAAATCGGTTTTTTGTTAATAACTTTCAAAATACTTCGTGTATTTTTTTTTCTCTTAATATGATGGATACTAGATAAGATAATAAAATGGACCCTCTCAAACAGACTTGACGAATCTAGTTTGCCAGGGACGGACTAGCTTTAACGCAATAATGACACTGAGGAAATATTAGTAGAAAGAATTAATTTTCACTGTCGCGAAATAAGGGCTAATATTGAAGCATTGTCAAGAGTCAAACAATTTTTAATTAAAAAAGGTATGGAATGCATAAGATTAGAAGGATCTCATGTTGAGTCGACATAAAAAAATATTTAATAAAAAACCATTAGTACACAAAAACAGATTTTTCTCGAAACCAGCTCATTTTTTTGACATCGAATAAGAGTACCTTTTCTTTTTTCTAGTTCAAGGTTGAAAACATCTAAAAATATTATTGCTATGCCTATATCATACAGGGTGTAAATAAAATTAGCATTATTGTGTTAAAGCTAGTCCGTCCCTGGCAAACTAGATTGGCCAAGTGTGTTTGAAAGGGTTCATTTTAAGGGGTCTTATCTAGTATCCATCATATTAAAAGAAAAAAAAATTACACGAAGTATTTTGAAAGTTATCAACAAAAAACTGATTTTCAGAAGCGTCCTTTAGGGGATGTAACTTCGTAGGGGGGGCCGTAGGATTTTTTTTTTTTATAGGAAGTCGTCATGTTATTTTTATGTGTTCTATCTGAATCCGAGAGATTGCCCACATATTCTAGGACACCCTGTATATTATTGAAATTTCATAAGATGTCAATGTCGGTCACAGAACATATCACCTCTAGAAAAGTATCTGCAATGTTACGTACCGGTTATGAATTACAGCGCCATCGTTGACTTGAAACCCAACTAATCGTGCATTCTTGACAAAAAGGCGAATTAATTTTTTTCATATATTTTTATTATTTTCAAATAATTTTCAATGTTCAACTGCATTTGGCTTGCTGACTCCTTTTAGCTCTTTTCGCCTCATTTTTTTGAAAACTCTGACTGGCAGGAAAATCCAATGTCGAACATAGTGCAAAAAGAGTTAGTAAGTTAGCAAGCGAAACGCAGCTATAGATAGATCGCAAAGTAAATACGAATATTAAATACAAATACGAACGAAACGAAACAAACGAATAAATGCAAAAAAATACGAACAAAAATTAGGGTTTTTTTCAACCCAAACTTTTTGAATTTTCACTTTAACGCGCGTGGGGTACAGCCATAGAATAAGGTTTATAGTGGGTATAGAATGGACAGTCCCGTTATACGGATCGGACAACCATTTATGGCGTCATCTGTTGTCTATGAAATGAGCTCATCCCATTGTAGCAGCTTGTAGAGCAGTTTGCTTCTTATTTTTTTTAGATTTGCTTTTTATTAATTTTATAATAAAGAAACAATTTGATACAAATTTAACAAATAACGGTTTATTACAAAGAGAGAAGAAAATTATGTTGGCTTTTCGAAACTTGTCAACAAAATCAACACTTAGCAATACAGAATTAAATAACAATAATAGTCTTTACACTAAACATAACACTGTGAAAGTCCACAAATACACACAGATAACGCTCTATCACTACGATACACTTTTTCAACGAACAGAAATATTAAAGCAACAATAAGAAGCAGAACGTTTTCCAGTTCATCGTTTTGTCATCATTCGTCATTTCATGAATTTATTTCAGTTCTTGTCATAATTTAATTAGTAATCACGTCACCCTTCTTCTGAAGCGGAAATACCTTGGAGATACAATCAACAACGCGTACGCAAATCAGTTGATAGCGCATCTACCGGGCATGAAACAAGTTTATCATCGAACCAAGTGGTACATTTGAAGATCGCGGGGTATGGGTACAGCAACACAATTTAAAAATTCAAATTTTGACTTTTAAAATGACAAAAGAAATGACAAAACCTACCAACACAAATCACTGTCCACACCACAGATACCTGCAAATTTCTCTTATTTCCCGCGGTGTCGCCATCGTTGACTAAAAACTTAACTAAAAACCGTCGTTGCGATTCTCCCATTTGAGATATTTTTCTAGAGGGGATATGTTCTGTGATGTCGGTGTCCGAGTCAGTCGAAATTCCATTTTTGTCATATTTTTACCATATTGTTTTTTTTCAATAATTAATGGTTCAAAATAAAATAGTATACATATTTCGGTGGAAAGTTTTTACATATATTGTCTCGAGAATTGGTTGGCCTCGGCGCTTCGCACCTCTGTCAACCATAGTATCTCTCGACAATAATGAAACAGTTTCCCCCTCCGCATGTAATATAGGTTCTATATTATATCACGATTTATCAGCTATATTATTATCGAATTCCTGTGCAGAATCAGCGACTCTTAAGTAAATACAGGTGGAAAAGTAACAGATTCACGGTGTAAGTTGCTGGGCGAGTCACCGAGGCACAGCCGCGGCGTTAGCTTGTGTGTTCTTAAAGTATTTTGACAGTTTTCAGAGGGCGCCACTGGCAATGCTGAAAGATAGTCAATCCAGGCACTATCCAAAATATTTAAACATAATGAAATTAGAAAGATAGGTAGAAAAGTAAAAATCTGAAAAGTAAGCTCAACTCAATATCTGACTATGAACTTTCCCAAAGAAAGCACATAATACATATAAATATCTTTAAAAAAAATGTTATGTAGCTACTTACTTGAAGCAATTTTTATAACTACTTTAATACTAGAGTCATATTTGCAAACCTGCCGCTGGATCTGTGGCAAATCAAGGGGACTTTGGCCCAAGCAAATATACTGGTTATATTATTATAATCATGGTCATCAGACCAATCATAACATATGGCTAAGTTATCTGGTGGGAAAAGGGGCAACAGCGTATTGTCCAAACCAAGCTCAATAGACTACTTGGCAATACCAGGAGCTTTCAGCACTACGCCAACAACCGCCATGGAGCTTCTCCTAGCAATTCTACATTTATATATCTATCTGGAAAGGGAGGCCCTAAAAACAGCATAGAGAATAGATACACCATACGAACAGAAATAAAGTGGAAGACAAAGTGAATGTGGAAGGCACCAAACATCTGGAGTTTAGTTTATAAACACATATCGGTTTGGGAATGCCTACGGACCTTATGCCAAGAGCACATACAACAAGCGCCCTACCCTACACAGTGAGTACAGTGACTCTCCCAAGAAGGGAAGAGGGGGTGCAAAATGATCATACCCTACTAGAAGCAGATTTTTGT